CCCATCCCCAATCACTACTGTGCAGACTCTGGCTCCAAATGCATGTAGTGAAAGAAAGTAGAGTCACGTTCATCTGTATCTGTAAGCTGCAGTCTTGAAGATATTGCTCTACAGGAGGGCTTAAAGGACAATATATTGTTTTTTGCTACTGCTACATAGACAACATTAGTAGTAAAAGCTCATTACTTACCAATCTGGCTAAAACAATGTAGGCTTCAAACTTAAATTGATGTTGATGTGATTTATGGTTGGAAATGACAGTGCATAAATTCTGCTATAACGTACTGCTATGGCTGTGTCGTGTATAATGGAGAACAGCCTGCTAGGGATAAGAGTGTCAAAGAAGACAACACAAGGACGACTTCAATGCCACAACTTTTTCATTAATTGACAAATTACTGTGACTACCTGAATGATCTCGGTGTTGTATATTACTGTGAACATGAATGCAGACCCACAGAGTACAGTGTTGTTTCAATCTGGACTACAACGGCTGATAACTTTGCAAGAGATCAAGGTTCCTTACACCTCTAGCTTTAATAAACAAGCTTTATGTGGTAACCCCTATGACCTGCAGCGTCACACTGACCCAGAGCCATTTCATATATGTCTTTATTACCAACATGTATCAGTCAATGCCACATGAAATCCCATATCCCCATCCCAGTTCATATTGCAGATATAAATGACCTTAGTGTGTGGCTACCAATAACAGCGTGACTAGCAGGTGATAACATGAACCCAGGGTGACGACAAATTACTTCTATCTATTACACACTGCACAAAAAACACTAAATCCTCCAGCCTTCACATACATCTTTGACATTAAAAATACCATATGTAGCCACTTCACCACTGTTGCTATTTCAACACATCCCATTCTGTCCAGATGTTTAATCTAATGTTGACCCTGCTAAACTGACAGGAAGAGACAGCGTCTCTCTACTTCTCATGTTAATGTCTTCACCCATTAACACAATATTTAGACTTTTTCTCACTGTCTTTATGTCCCATGTTGAAGGCCTTGTTTTGCAATGTATTGTACTTCCTTGGATTTCTTCTATTTGTAAATATTTTCATTTCATATTTCTAGTAGACATATGCTTCCTGCTACACGTTGACCTCTGTGGTTTTCTGTCTTAAGTACCATAACAAGAAAAATGCCATCGAAAAAGATCTGGGGCCGATTTAAAAACACAAATAAAGATATATTTTTTCCCCCAACTTTCCAAAATATATTCAGTAGCAAATAGAACATGCATCTTCCAGCAAGAACTCACAAGAACTATGTCATTCTTTGGTTCTGAAAATAAACTTTTTGTTTGTTGATTCTCTATATTGAGCAAATCAATTACCTTTCAGAAACATGACGTTCACTCCCACCATGCAACTTTAAAAAAAAAAACTCCCACTCTTTTCTAATGCCGCACTACCACACAGAGTGAATTCTGTTTCGGGGGAGTGTAACGTGAACAGCAAGTCAGCAGGAAAATACTTCGGTGATCACTGAGGAGGTACCTGCTGTGCCTCATATTTTGCAGGAATTTTAAGCCTTGGAGGAGTATTGAAGAAAGAAATCCTAAAAACAATGCATATATAAGACGTATACAAAAAAACAACAACATTTAGAGTACAGAAGAAAACATTTGAAGTTAGTTATCCAAAAGTTTGTCACTTACAGTCTCGTAATGCATAATTCCTCAAAAGCAATATACTGCAAGTTCCTTTAGTCACACTGGAGTCTTTGTTGAGCAAAAGGTTTGACCTGAATGCTCCCAACACAAACAGCCCACTGAAAGCTCCTAATGTGCGGTTTACCCTGCAGTCTAGATTATTTCACTGCAAGTGATGAAAGTCCACTTTTGCCAAGACTCAGGTGAAATGAGGCAAGTTGACAAAGCATGGCGTGTAGCAGCATAATATAACATGCCTTACATAATAGGAAAAACAGTAGCACAAATCTGAATTGAGCAATATAAAGTATTACAAAATGTGGCTGCTTATTTAAGGGTATAGCACAATCTGGGAACTACAATTGGCGACAATTAAACACACTGCACCCAAGTATTTAAAGGGCACTTCTGGCAAACTAAGGCTACCACTGTTTCTAGATAGCTGTTGCATAACAGCAGGAGGACATCCAACTGTTTCAGCAGCACTGCAAAAATCAAAATGGTGAAACAAACAACTAACAGTTGTTTACTTTAGGTGTATTGTGAATTTCACAGTATTCCTCACGAACGAAGAGTGTGCGGTGAAACACCTCAGTTAAGTCCATTTATTAAAGTAATTTTGCTTTTTGCACAGCAGTGTGCCTTGGTGCCTTTGGCTATGATTTATTGATCACAGAGAAAAGAACAAGTCCAACATTGTCACTTTTTAGTTTCCTTGTGCCTCATTCTAGATCAGACAACTCCAGCCACTATTCCTACAAAAGAGGTTAATGTCAAATTTAATGAAACAAGGGAACGATAAGAGACAGACACTCCCTCAGTGTAAACAACTTAAAGCTCATTAATGCTCAACAGACTTCTGTCGATTGTCTGTGTTCATTTCAGTCCTATGTGTGCACATCTTATGAGAGCCTACGGATATGGATGAAACAGACAAAACAAAACAGTACCACTGGAAATCATGGGGGGCAGCGTAAACAATAATGCAATTAAGTTGACCACAAGAACAGAATTTCATGCATGGCAGAACTTTTCGCGTCGGAAAGAAACGAAAGGCATCTATATGGTATTAATTTGCACAGGGACAAACAGATGCTTGCCTCCTTCTTAAGATGAACATTATCACAACCTCCTCCACCTTCGACGTGTTAATTGTTGTCAGAAACTCTTTACTCTGAGCTGCCCTCTCTTGGAGGAAATGCTTGACAACTGTGCCAATGTAAAGGAGGATTTGAAACGGATATATCGCTTTTCTTTCGTGAAGGCAGCATAAATGAGCTTTTAGACAGTGAAGTGCAATAAAGATTATTTCTTTGAAGAGGAAATTTGAAATGACATGCACCACACAACTACAGAATCAAACACTAGGCTTGAAAACAAACATTAAATAAGTGAGCTCAAGCTTAGACTGGTACATTTGGACAGCTGAAACAACCCTTCACATTTGTCACTGTGAGATTTCACCATGGACAACATGTATTCCATCAAGCTACCGAGCTAGATGGGGAGAGGGGAGGTGACGGATGAACAAGAGAGAAACACAAGAAACATAATCAGAGGAGGATTTTTCATCCATCTCTCCAGAGATCCTGTGAAGACCATAATGCCCACAACAGTGATTCTGATTGTTGCAGTGAGACTTGGTCAAGGTTAAATTAACTCTAATTCTGTGCCATGCTATGCAATGACAGAGGGAGACTGAATTTGCAGCAGTAATTAACAGTCCTAAGGCTCATTAGAATTCATTTCAGTAGCTGATCTAGTATTTTCGTGTGGCTGCTTGTGTAAACATAATGACATTGGTTTTTGTTAGATTTGCCTAAATGCTGAATTGATTGTTGTTTCAGTTAAAATTGTTTAGGCCAAATATCTACAGCTAGGTTGATCACTTAACCATCATTTTTTTAACTAAACAACCTCTAATATCAGAGCTGTTGTCAGTGCGTTTGCTCCTTCACTGTTGTCCAGAGCTGCAGAGATTTCACACACAGACAACAAATCACCTTTTACTACAATGCAAACACAAGCAATGTAATTATGTATGCATTATTCATTGACAGTGTCGGAGGAGCAGTACTACAAGAGCTACTGTTTGTGAGGATGATTAATGTTAATGGCAGGATGCCTTTCAAAGTCCGAGTTTGATGAATATCCCCTTTTATTAAGGGAGAAATGTAACTTTAAAAACTGGGCCTTGTTTAAATACTTTTGGCAATCACTCCAGTTGGCTCTTATACGATAAATCTATAGTGTAATCCCAGCAGAGACCTTACTGTAACAAGCAGCGTGAAGCATGAAGCTTACAACAATAAACACGTATCAACAGACACAATTCATACGGCTTATTAGGATTTGAAGTAAATGTCAACCAAAAGGAGGTAAGACTCCTCCTAATATCCTGATTAAATATTCAGGCTACTTGTATGTTCAGCTTCAGTTTGTGCCTCGTGTTTTATTATCTCAGTTCAAGCAACTCTGCATCCAATTTTCTTAAGAAAATAGAAATCTTTGAATAGAGAAATAACTAACTGCTGTTCTGAAGGTTTTTACAACTTTTTTTTTAAATTTCTGAATGAAAAATATTCCTATTAGACTAAAGGGAACTTTTAACCAGTTTCTTTCATTTTGAATGCATATCCTAATAGATGTAGACAGAAATGATGCTGGTCCCTGCTTACGAGCACAATATTAACACAGTTAATATACAAATAAATGTGTGATGATACAATTTTTAAATTTGGGTCACAATGTACAAAACGAGCAAGGACATCTGTGATATCCAGCTGCCATGTCTGTTTGACCTTTAAAAAAAAAGAGGTGCAATAATTACAAAAAAGATGGGGGTTTTTTTTGGGGGGGGGGTTCTGTAAATACCTTCAAACAGCAAAGTGTTGTTAAACAATCTCTGCTCTGTGGTTAAACATGACAGACACAGAATTTCTACTTTACTGCTCTCAGTGTAAAGTACAGACGCTTGTAGGTCAAACCAGCATCAACTGAAGGAATGTGAAGGAATATGCAACATACAGCCTGACAAAAAAAATGAAGGAATATAAGAAACTAATTGGTTGCATCCTTCATCTCCTCTCTGCATGTCTGTGTGGCAACGACAGCAGAGTGACTGGGTAGCAACAGTGTGTCATTCCTGCCGACGCATCTCACTATAGGGATGCCATGCAGGGCATCACCGACTCCCCATCTGACAGCGCTCCCCTAACAACCACGACATGGACAAACTAAAGAAGGGAGAGACTTGTGTCTTTCCTCGCCATCTGCAAACGTGAGTGATGTTTTGTTTCCTTTCAGATCGGATGCTTCTTGTCTTACCTGTTTCTGCTGATCCAGGAGGGAGACGAGGAGGAGGTGAAGGAGGAGGAGGCAGGCGCATCAGGATGGAGATACACAGAAGAAGAGCAGAGAGCGGAGATCTCGCTGGATCCGCTGCTGCCTCGTTCAGTCACGACTCAGTCCCACGTGCGTTCATCCACTTTGCGCCGCGCACTCGCTGCGGTTGTGCGCGCAGCCACTAGAACACACAGTGAATGAACGAGCGGCTCCGGTGTTGCGTAACACTACCTGAATCTAATTTGATGCTTTACTGGAGCATTATTGTGTTTCATCATTTCTCAGAGAAGCTCATTAAAGAATGGAGGTCGGTTGTCATGGAGGCAATCAAATGAATCCTCATGTACGTCCCGATAACGTGACTTTCATTTAGTTTCCTTGCCACGGAGCTCGAGTCAGCTTTGACACCAATGACTTCATGACTGCAACCATTGATTGATTTATTTTGTGATTTAGCTCATTTTTTCTATAAAATGACAGGTAAATAGTGAAAATCGTCTGCTTGAACTTGAAGTTGCATGTCCTCTTATTTCTAACAAATAGCTATTTCGAACCCCCCACATATATTCAGATTACTTTAAAATCTGGATAATAAAAACATCAGACATGTTATTTAAGTAGCAAGTGTTATTACTCACAGGTAGAAGTTGCTCTCCTATTCTCTGCATCTTCTTCCGTCAATTTCAAAACAAGACGTCAAAAATAGCCAGTTAGCATAGAAGCTAACCTGCGTCACCGGCTGTGGAGAACAGGTGAACGGTCCCACGTTAGTTTGGACAGAACGTTCAGTCACGTGACATCACTTCACATGTTTTCTAATGAAAGACAAACTTATCCCGTTCTTCTGATTTCCCTCTGTGGCCTAACTCGACCCAGGTTAATCCTCAAAATCAAATTCATCGTGTCACCTCTTCGCTTGTTGGCTAGCTACATGACATGACGCGTTCAGGGCACGTCGTCAAATAATGACCTGCGTTTTAAACTCAACAATGACATGTTCGTAGTTTCTGTGGCCAAACACAGCTTCCACTAACAACTGCACACGTGTCAGAAGACTAGTTACAGCTTACAACCAAAGCGAATCACTTTCGAAATGCCTGAACATCCCCAAATCGAAATACTTGCCTTGGTTCCCATTCTGCCGAAGTTACATGAATGGGGCGTGGATGCTAACGCTAGCCACCTAGCGTTGTCTGAATTTAAAGGTTTAAGCCAAACTTTAAAGACGTTTCCAGTTTCTCGGAGAGGATTCTGTCAAGAGAGGGGAAAACATCCAGTGTTGAGAATGTCGGTTGAGGTGTTTTCTGGTCGCACTGGAGCTAATGAGAATCTAATGAGAAGCTAATGAGAAGCTAATGAGAAGCTAATAAGAAGCTAATGTTGCGGGTCAAAGTTCACCAAAGTTCAACTCGATGTAAAGCCACGCGGTGGTTTGCCTCTGTACAAGAAGTTTTATTTTTTATTGATTTATTGAAAAAAAATGGTTAGAAATACACTGAAGACAAATATCAAAACTTACACTGGTGTTGATCCAGTATTAGGGAAAAAAAAAAAAAAAGAAAGAAAGAAACGAAGTCTAGTAAAGAAAAAGTTTCTGGACACTTTTATCCATCATGCATGAAGGATATTTCGTCTTTAATTCATCCTTCCATTCATTGATACAGGGCTTGACTTTTAAATATACACATCTGGTTTATTTCTTTATTTTGATTTTACTTGTAAAAGTAGAATATTAAACTGAAATGTTGCCATTTGATTTCCTTTTTATTTGGATTGGAGCCTACTCTGACCAAACTCATTCCAATTAAATCTTTCATGTAGGAAATTATTGGTTGGATCAATGTCATTGGTAATTTTAAATGTTACTTCTTTAGTTTTAGGTAGGATCAGATACAATATGTATCATTTACAGGAAGTGAATGTTGTACTGGCGCCCTAACTCTCACTCCAGGTGAAGGTTCGTCTCTGATATATATATATATATATATATATATATATATATATATATATATATATATATTATGCACGTCCTAATTATAATGACTCATAGCACAATATCACAAAGACTGAGTGATTAGCAACAACAGAAAAATATGGAATATGAAACATAAAATACAAATGTTGATGATTACCTTTTTGAACAGAGATGGATAGGGCAAACTAGAGCTTGGAATTGATCAAGTAAGGAAAAATAATAATTTAAAATAGAGTTGGTATAATGACATAGAGGAGTCATTACAAGGGGGGTAATCAAGGCCTAATAGATCCTCTGAACTTCACTTTGACAACTATAGTTTTAGATTTTCAGCCACGTCACAGAATGAAAAGCTTTATGACCCAGGAATTGTTTTGGTTTCCTGCCACTATCCCCTTGGTATAAATGATATATATTATTAAATTATTTCTTATGCTGCTGCTGGGTCACACACCCTTCACAGTCAAAACAACAGTCCTGCCTCCTGTTATTCATCCTCGTATCCTAGCAGTTAGTTAGAGGTTGTTTTTGCTGTCGTCATTCTGCAGTGGGTAACATGCCGGGTGCTGAAAATTGATTTACTGGCAGAGATTTAGATTTTTCCATGAAGCAGTGCACATGCTGCCAGGGTGGGCTGGTTGGAAATAGCTCTTATTGGTCGATGTGTTTTAGAAATCCCACCTATCATAAGTCTGATAAAACTTTTTTACTTCTCACTGTAGCACACTGTAATGAGTTGTGTTGTCCATCATTAGAGGAAGATGACAGGGGCCATGTTCACTGCAGACTGTGATGTCTGTCAGCAGATGCGTTGCTGACCTGCTCTCTTACCCGGGCCGGGGTGTGCAGAGGCCCAAACCGAGCAGCAGGAGCAGATGGGAGTCAGACGGATGAAAGGAGGATGAGACAGAGCTGTGTACTTAATATTTAACTAGTGGAGCAGCATGTTGCTCCGCCCCAGGAGGAGCCAGTATCAAATCATCATACTCAAGTGACACTGATTATAGAGATGCTGGAATTCATAGGTGGAGAAAACCCATGTCAAGTACCATAATACTCATATCTTGAGGTTCACCTTTTTCTTAAATACCACTTTAATCCAGATTGGTTCAATGAGGAACACTGAAGGTAAAAATATTCTCCATCTGTAAAACATTTATGTTCTACATCCCCCCTGCTACCATTTCCCCCCTGTCCTTCACAGTGGATAACAATGGAAGACAAACCAAAATGAATGTGCTCAAGGTATTTTAGGGAAATATCACTGTGATGGAGCTGATACAATAAACCATAGACTGTGTATAAAGATGGATGACATATCTCCACTCTCACTATTCAGACATGAAGCTTAAATATTGTATTTTGTGCATTTAGAGCCAGAGTTTGCACTGTAGCGATCGGGAGATGGAGCCCCAGGGTCAATGTCCCGAGTCAAGTCCGTTTCAACTGTCAATCACAACGTTTCAAACAATTTTTATAGAATTAAATAATTAATTAAAACAAACGTATCAGAAAAATCAGCTCTTACCACAAGACCAACCCCCACACTACTTCTTTTATTCCTTTCTCTCTATCTTCTTCACTTTCTGTCTTGCTTTTATTGGACAAACACATTTTTCAACACTATTTGCAGCAAAGTCAGTCATGTTTTCTCGTCATACTGGGTTTCAATAATCACAAAAGGGAAAAACAAGCATTTTGATTCTTAAGTCACCTTTGATTTATTCCATTTGTCACTTAAAATAGTACATTTTCCATTTGTTGCTTTTTTTTTTATTACAGAACCCTTTAGTCCCTAAGGTACAGAACCCTGAAAATCCATTTCATCATATAAATGCCTTTTCAATTGTCAACGGATTCCCAATGCAATGAGGAGAATAGTTTTATCTTTTCAATTCAAAATGGTGTAGAAGCACAATAGGCCAAATTGGTTTCCCACTTATGGGCCACAGCTATAATTACTCTGGACTAAGCTCACCTCAAATCAGCCTGGAGAGTAGCTTGCATAATTTTTATAATTAGCTTTCTAAAGAAGAATGTCCATTGGAAATATTGATTATTCCCTGGAATCTTCATTTCCAAGTTACTGACTGAAAAAAAAACATTATTTTTTCTTTAGTGGGGGGTTAATGTCTGTTTTTCTCTCCATCACACAATCCCCAGTTTCCCATGACCGACAACTTCACACTTTCACACACCTGTCCAGCCGCTCAGCGTATGAACAGTCCCTCTATTGTTGAAGTGCACCCACTTGTAGTTAACGGTGTAAATCTCTGTCCAGAATAAATATAGCTCACTGGCACATTGTGCTTTCTTAGAAAACTGTCACGTCTTTGAACCAGTGACGAGATGAGAGAGAGAGAGAAAGAAACAAACTTCATCAGGGAGAACAGTAATTTTCACGTCTCAAATTGTGTTTCAACAGATAAATCTCTCAAGGCATCTTTAGTCATGCTAATTTTCTGCAGGAAGAGGATATTTCAGGACATGTGTGATAGTGACGCTATAGGTAACAGAACCTGCTTTACATCAGCATGTCCAAATAACCATTTAAACACATGGCACGCATTATGTTGTCATAAATCCACAGTACATCAGTAGATGAGGGTACTGGGATTATAGTAGGTACAAAAAAACTTTCCAGGAACCTGTGATATATCTGAGACTAATGTTGATGGAAAGATCCTCGGATGGCTTCTCAGGATTTATGCTTCGGCTGTTGTAGGAAGAACTTTCACAAACAGAGTCTTGGTGTTGAGAGATTTAACTGATGAATCAGCTGGCAGCTCTGAAAAACAGAAACCAAGAGTTGAGTAGCTTGCTTGATTGATATTAAGTGATCATAAATAATTGAAATATCAAAAACCTTAATGCCAAGAAAATGAAGTTTTGTTTAAAATAATCTAAGAATTCACGTAGTTTCATTGAGGAGAAGGCTGGACATCTTTCATCACACACAATCTGCAAACTGAGGCATCTTAATTGTGAGTTAATTAGTTTAATTAATAATCACCTACACATACCACAAACCGTACACATCCACAGACGATAATGTACCCCATAAAAATAATCTCTTAGTAAAAATGTAACACATGTTTCAGGTCACAGGGACATGAAGTAAAATGCATGATGGGTAAAAGAAAAGAAAGAACAAATTGTATCTGACAACAAAATGCAGCGAAAAAGAAACGATCACTGGCATGTTTTGTGTGCGGCCATTTTGTGAAGTGCATCCTAAAATGTTCATCCTGTTTGTTGTAGATTTTTGAATTGACAGCCGTGCATTTCTGTTTCTTAATCTATTTTAAGCAGCAGTGAAATGTAAAGAAATGGAAGCAGTTTCATTTCATGCCACTTTATACTCCAATACAATGAAGGGAGATATTTTCTAACTCCTAATTACACATGCATTAACACATCAATCACATTAATAACAACAATATCAAAGCCAAAAGGGTTGTTTCTCTTCACCTTTGATACTTTCACAATATAAATGAAATATAACTTTAGAAGAAGTACATTTAATTCTTACAGAGTATTTTAAAGCGTAGTATCACTTTCTGTACTTCAGTGATTGGGTACAAATGGCTGGTAAACCTGAGTGAGTCTCTGCTGATCTGCTCCTGACTTTCCTCTTTATTTGCTTCAACTAATTAAAGTGTAGAAGTAAACAAAACAACAAATCACTTGTTCTTTGATCTGAAAATGTCTGAATGTCTAAATCCCTAAATACCCAGGCTGAGATATGACATTTTAGAACATAGTTCATTGAATTCATAACCTTTTCTGGAAACTACTTTTCTTATCAGTGACGTTAGATGATGAAGGTAAAAGCTATCAATCTAATTTTCCTGTCAGTGTATATCAGCCCTGCATTTCTGGTCTTAAATCAGTTTAAAGCCGCAGTGGGATGGGATTTACTTGTGTGGAGGAGTTGGGGTGATTTTAATGGGAATTTAATCCAGTCTAGACCATATGTATGTAACTTTAAATTATCTACTGTGTTGACGCCAACACACTGGTCCTCCAGTCATTTAAATCTTATCACATAATAGCTTTTTTTCTTCTGCATTTTGTAGTTGTGTGTGAATTATATGTTTTTCTGTGAAACTGTTTTTGCCAGAACAGAGGGGAACCTTTTGGGAACATTTGTTTATTTATTGTCAAATTGGTGCCAAATTAGCTATTAGCCATTTATGTTTGTAACGCATCAGTGCATGTACGCTCAATTATAACTTTGAAACTGAAGGAAATATAAAACCATGATGAATCTTGGTTTTGTTTCTGATCTCTAACTTCATTCATTGACACATATTTGTGTTTGTTTACTTTCTCTTTTTGTCTATTAGAGACCAAATCCTGTAATGTTGTCAAGTCCACAACAGTGTGTAACCAGGAACTACAGGGAACATAACAAATTTGATTCCCCACCTCCCACATTAATGTCGTTTCCATCCAAATGGAGTCTTCTGCATGGATGCCGGGGTTTATATGATATTCATCAGTTGTTTCATCTTACCCTGAGTGAGGTCCTGGTCCAGGTAGAGTTTGAGCCATCTGCTGCGAAGGCCAAACACCTTGGCAGTTTCAGACAGGAGGCCTGAGTAGTCGAGCCCATTCTGTCCCACTGGGTTCACCAGCAGGAGGGTGCCCACCTCTCCTGTCTGGCATTCTAGAGAGAGGATGAGAGTCAAGGAGACGTGAACCAGACAGACTTTACCTCCTGTATAAATGATTGGTGAGGTTTGTTTACAAGTCCTGAGAAAGTATGTGAGGAAGCCAAAGCTGAGCCATGACAACAATATGGACTCTATTATCAATCTCTTGAAGGGCAGCCATCTCTGCTAAGGCTTGGACAGGCTATTCTAAGTTCAACCATCATAGTTGGTTTTGGTACGTGTCTTTATGTACTTTTATTTTACCATATACTGTGTTACTGAGATTCAGATTCTCACCAGCCGGCTGTGCATTGCAGAGCAGCAGATTCACGTAAGGACACAGGAGGGCATCGGTGGTGGGGATGGGGCCGGGGGACGAAGAGCCTGAAGTTACTGTCAAAGTTTTACCACTCAAAGACTGGAGGTCCGTTTTGCTGGTCAACTCTGTCATGAACACACACGTACATACATGGGTTAGAAGTCAAAAGGAATCTATCATTTCGGCTGCATAACTCCTGAGCCCCTGAACTGACAAAACGATAAGACAAGGTCCAGTTTAATGGTCCAGTTAAATACTTGCTCACGCAGGTTCCCCATACATGTGGAAAAGCATGCTCATCACATTATCATGCATGCATTTGGCAAACAGGAAATATGGAGGAAAAATGTTAGGTTTCAGAAAATGTTTCCAGCTCCGAATTCTTTTGGACAACATTGTCTTTATTTCATTTATTCTATGTATGTAGTCACTTAAGTGATACAAGTTCCTGCTGTAACAGTAATATAATCTGTTGGTCTCACACAATAGATGGGAGGGAGTTAGATTAATGTGTTTCTGAGTCAGATCAGTTCTCACCAGTTCCGCTGTTGAAGAATCTGAGCTGGGTGTTGTTTGTTCCAAAGATGCTGCTGGACACTTTCTTCAGCTTCTGCAGGTCTACTCTGTTGTCTCCTTTGGGGTTCTCCAGCAGCACCACTCCCTCTGAACAAGTAAACAGTCACAGTGAATTAATAAGTCAGTGAAACAGCTCACAGGGTACATTTATAGAAAAGCAAAGGTGACTGAAATGATCCTGTACATGCACGGCCTTGCAGATCTTTGGAGTTACTTTTTAAAATAGTGGGAAAAACAAGCTGGTCACATTTTATTATCTCAACAACCAGACGACCAACAACCCTCTGTTGACAGTTTGAACAGTTACACACATTATTGATTAGTTATTTTTAGGCTGGAAATGCAGTTTTCCTTTTCAGCCCCCCAATGTGATACCTTGTTCTTTGCTGCTGACCTTCACCCTGAGGTTCACATAGGTGCAAGCTGGTCCATTTAGTGAGACCCGAGGGCCTGAGGATCCCTTCACAATGACCAACTCCAAGTCTGCACCCTTCAGCTGCAACACAGGGGGAAGAAAAGAGCATGAACGAGGGAATGACAGAAATAGCACATCCTGACACACTTGATATACAATTAGATCATTTCAAGGCAAAAGAAATGCTTAAATCAAATGTAACACATATCACCGTAGAGGAAACAATAATCCTGCTTCCCTTTAGGACTCATTTCATACCTGAGTCTTTTCCTCTATGATGACACTGGCAGTGTTGGGAACAGGGAAGGGCAAGAGCGGAGCCTTGGTGGTCGCCAGGATGAAGTCAGTGTGAGCCTGGATGACAGAGTCCAAGTGCTCCCCCTCTGGCTGGCAGCGGTAGTACACAGCTATCTCATCTGATGGCACCAAATGACCCTATAGGAAGAGAATAAGACAGACCAGTTAAGGGAAGATGTCTATTTTTGCAACCCCTGGGATGAAGAGTCAAAAATGAGTAAATATGTTTGATTTGTCTTTTCAAACAACACAACAATCTGCCATTGGGTTTTAGAAAATCTGTTTTCAGATTAAAACTAATGATTACCACAGACACGACAAATCATAATGTAGTAATTCTATTCTAAGGTTTTCTTTGTCCTTTGTAAGAAAATGAAATCTGGAGGAAACAATTACTGGAGTAAGTAATCTACCCCCTGTATGGGATGAAGAAAATAGAAGGGTGAACACAGGAGGAGCGGGTTGGGATTAAAATGCAGAAAACAGACAGTGGAAGAACAAATAAAAGAAGAATGGAACAAGGGGAGAATTTTTATTGGATGAAAGCCCATCTATTTTGGCTTTGTGTACTGCCAGCTTCCTCTAACCTTGACACATTCAAACACATTGATCTCACCCTAATCTACAGTGTGCAGCCGTGCACATGTGTGCGCAGCCACACACATTTTGTGTCGAACAAACACGCACGCACACACACACACGCCAATGCAGTATGTGGCTCAAGGGCAGAGGAATAAAGTTAGCTAGATACAGAGGAGCAGTCAATCAATGAGCAAGGTTTATAGGCTTTTCCTGCCAAGTCAAGGTACTGACCCTCCCCTGAAGGGGACTAGTACAGTGTGTGTGTGTGTGTGTGTGTGTGTGTGTGTGTGTGTGTGTGTGTGTATACACACCTCAAATAGAACTACTGAGAACTCCAGATCATGAGCAATCCAATAAAAAAAGAAAATGCTGACCCCTGTTTCTCCACTGTGCATATGCTCACAAACAAAACACTAACACCCACGTAAACATTGTTAAAGACACAAATGCATCAACTACTACCAAACACGTCAAAGAAAAAATTAATTCCCATCCCCGGGGTGGAAAATTCCTCATAGATCTCAGTTTGAAATAACTGGAGGAATTTAGCTTGGCCGGCAGCCAGTGCACACCACTGCTATAGGGGGACGGAAAAAGCTGTTTGTTGCTTGTGAAAACAAGGGGCTGTTGGCTAATCCGTCTTTACTCCCCAGACCACTTCAAAGCTCCAACATTAGAATCTGAAAGGGGCCAGACTGTAATTAAGCTTCCATTAAGCCTGCCTTATGATGGAGAAACTTCTTACTGTGACGCTGCAGTGGAAAGATTTAAAAAAGTGCCCCGACAAAATTAGCATGGGACATAAAGAGGAAGGGGGGATAACAGGGAGGAAGGTGGGAAGTATAAATACAACAACAGAAAAGTAAAATCTAAATTGTATGGCTGTATGTAACAACTACTTGCATTATGATTACCCTATTGCTTTATTGTAAGATAAAGAAGATATTGTAATATCAAGCGTTAAATGGTTTTCACACTTCCCCAAAGAACAACAATTTTAACACAAAATATAATATGGGGTGATCTGTTCGGTAAACAAATACATTGTGGGGTCACATTTGAGAAGCTGTAGACTAAGATGAATATTTTTGCTTAATAAATTATTTAAATGATCTGTTGCTCATCTCACTGATTAACCATCTCATAGAGCTACGATGACTGTTTCTATATAAAACCATGTTAGGGCAGTGAGTGTGGGAAGTAAACTGTGCTGCTGTACTGCCAGGATGAGGGTGTTAAAAGTTTAAGAAGGCAAAAATAGTGTTGTTAACAGATGCCAAACAAGGGAAGCCTCAAACACATGAAGTGTTTCCTACTGGAGAGACAGTATTATTTCTTATTTTAGATGCATGCAGTGTCAGAAAAACCAACCAGGAGTGGATGTGCAGGTTGACATCAGTCTTTAAAATACCACATCATCTTCTGTGTCATGATTCTTCTCTGTCACGCTGTCATACATTCATTATTCACTATGTAAGCAACAGCCTTGGAAAATATTTTATCTTCAACCACATCTCAAGTGTCCGTGCACAGTGAAGTGGTTTGCTCACTGTGGCTCGGCCCTGACTACAAATATTGGCAACAGTTTCAATTATGTCAGATTGCATTCATTAGACACGGGTTTGTAAAATTCAGTGGTGGTGTGTTATGTGTCACTCTAGCCCAGAGCTAATGGAGCTCCTGAAATACTCGCCCCACCTTCTTGCGTAGTTTCTGAATTCGGTTGATGACTTCTCGGGCAACGCCTTCATCCACCATGGACTGGTCAGGAGAGACATCCAACAGCACAAGGACCTAAAGACAAGTATGACAGATTAAGATGAAAGATATAACTGGTCAGACAATTTGCTGATAAACAGATCTGCTAATTTTGAAAAAAGACTGCCTGATATTAAAACCCTCCATTTAATCATGTTTGATATTGTAATCTACAACCCAAGTCGATTATTATCGATGAGTACATTTCAAAAGAGTGTTACTAATCAAATTTGGGTTCCCACCAATGACGAGTTAAAAAATGGATTTCATGTGACAGGAAGATATTATGATAGAGTTTATCCTATGACTGCTTCGGCTCACTGATACACAAAATTCATTTTAGATTCAGTTTAACATTCAGAGATAATGGGAGCATTTTTTACAGAAATGTAAAGTATATCAGGCCTCAACAGTGATAGCTGACTAAAAATGGATGTGTGTAAACTGTAAAATGAATTTGGGAGCATGTGGGTGCGCACACATATATAAAATAAAACAAATCAAGTCAGCCTGTATTTTCTCTTTTAAATGTGAAGGTTGATAACACAACAACAATGACAAAAATTTCAGCCGCTTCACTGAAACAGTGTTTTCTGTTGGAAAAAAATCAATCATCAATCAATGACGAGTGAAAATTGTGAGAAACTCAATCACTCATTAGCTCAAAGATCTGTGTCCAGCTGTGGACCGCTGGCTGAGCTCAGAGCGGACCAGACGACGGCTTCACTAAAGCTCCAGGACCAGTGGACTGAGGAGGTATTTCTTTTTATTTAAGAATGAGGTGTAAAAATGTGTTTATGTGATCAATATCATTTAGTTTTTATAGTTTTATAGTATAAATGATTGCATACAGGTACTGACTGAATATCGTATTTGAAACAGTGTAATGAAAATACATTAAAGCATCTTGATTGTAAATGTCTCCTCAAATCCCTTTAAGGACAAACGTGACATTTAATCATTTTTGTGCGTCAAGCCCTGTATATAGTTCAAACATTTAAAAAAACCAAAAAAAAACAGCAATAATGAGAATATTGCATTCTGTGTAAGTCACTAAAGTAAAATTAGTGTCATGTTGTGCAGGACAGAGCTGCTGAACACTTTGCCATGGGAAGGAGGAGGGAACAAGATGACAGCATTACAGAGAATAGTACTAAAAAGGAAGAGAAAAAAGAATAAGAGGAGAGAGAGTGAGAGAGAGAACAGAGAAACAGACAGATGGGAGCTGGAGAGTCGGTGCAAGCAAGCGAGAGGGACAGAGAATTAAAAAGCCAGCTCAGTAAACTGGTATTAAGGTGCAGCCGTGTGTTGTGTGTACGGTTGGAGGAGCACTGATTAGAGAGGGCCTGTGGGAAACGCATACATGCTGGATTCCGCTTAGCCGTGAAATTATTTCATACATCACACTCACAGTAAAGACACATAAATGCATTTACAGTATATGGCAGCTCGGTGCGGGCGCTGCAGCAGAGCAGCATTTACCTTTTTCAGATCCAGATACGATTCACTTCGTAGCTCAGTTTACAAAACAACAGTCAGTAATGTGATAAAGTGAGAGGTCGGTCGGGGTGTCCGTGCGTGCGTGCGTGCGTGTGGACTTATACCTTTAGATCTGTTTTTAGAAGGGACAGTAATTATGCATCTCATTAAAAAGCCTTTGTGTAATGAAAAGTACATGAACTGTGCAAGTTTTGAATATATTATATATATACACACATCAATATTCCTGAGATACCATGCCGACATATGAGAATGGTATAGATGTTTTGATCTTACACTTGGAAAGAGAAAAAATAAACATCGAAGTTGGCACTTAGATGCTTTATTAAATACGTATTTAAAACTGCAGATTATTTTTTGATTCTTACTTTCCCAAAGGGGCCGTTCTTTGTTCATCATGGTGTAGACTTTGTATGCAAAGTTAATGTGTTTCATTGATGTGTCTAATCTGAACAGGGTTTAAATGTATAGCAGACATGTACCTGTGCATCAGAGTGGGCTTCATACTGTGCAGCGGAGTCTGAGCTCTGGTTGAAGGTGTACATCAGCCTCAGGTCCTCTTCATGAAGCTCATGGCCGTCCACCACGATGGTACCTTTAGATTATAAACAACAATTATAGGGCAACATTGAAAATTATCATGAACACAAAGATATTTAAGAACATTTATGAATCCCTATGAATATCTGTGGTCTGGCTGGTATTTACTGGCGTTTTAACATCCCTTACATCGCAGTCTCTTCAGCCACTTCCACAGAGATCAGAGCTTTTAACAATACAGGAAACTCAATCTAGTCAGGTTTATATTTCCATTTTGCCAGTGGCAGCAATTACCCACGTCTGTGTTCTGACTAAAAACCATGACCGGTGCTCTGCTCTTCTCCACACCCAGAGGCTGGGTGAAAACAGACACTCCCATCCCCTCTTATCCTAGATTTCCACACTTTGATTTCCTGTGTCCCTCCCTTCTCCTCTGCTCTTTTCCAGCCTCTCTCTGAACCCATTTTCTTGCACCCAATCAATATGATGGGATCAAAAGGCACAGGTATGGAGTAATGACTAATAAAACCAATAGGCATGAACCCACAATCAGTTTCAAGCCAACTCGCAGCCCTTCTAGTCTAAATTGGAACAACTTTTTTGGACTCTGCGGTAAGGATTTGCTCGCAAAGTTTAAAAAGCAGTGTCAGCGCTTCCATAGACACGGACACTGCTTCAGTCAGTAGCTTCAACTAACTGATCACTATCAACTACCAGATGTTCATCTTGTCCACCGTTTCTGTTCTTACTCAAAATCTTGTTGACTAAAAACAACAAGAATTACCAGAGTTAGTCCACCGTGAACCTCACCTTTGAGTACCAAAATCAGTTCTTCCTTGAATCCAAGTGAACGTTTGTACTAAAGAATGGGACTACAGACAACCCTAAACACATAATGCCTCCAGCCACTGGCTGTCGCCGGCGTGGAGGCATTAAAATAGATGCTGCATTATACGGCACTTAAGCACTTTGAAAATGGGTCTTTTGATCTCAATTTATTAAACTGTAACTCGATGCTGCTGTACACATTTTCATCCGAATTTCCCCTCCATCATTTTCCACCATCCTCTTCCACGTCTAGCTCTGTCCTTCCATCCTTTCATTTTTCCCCTTCCAATTGGCTGGACTTCAAACATACAAGTGATTGGAAATGTTCAGTTCCCACAGCCAAGCTGACCTCCACTGCTTCCCTCCCCAGAGACTCTGGGAGCTCTCCTCGTCTTTCTATAATTGGAGAGACAAGATACCTTGCACTGCTTTGATCCGTACTCCAGCTCTGATTATAGTTTCACAAGGGTTAGGGTTTTATATTCTGAGGATAAACCGGACGTCTGTGTGCAGCAGGTTTCATTACAAGGATTTATGTTTAGCCTACTGTTCAAAAAACTGATTCATTTTACACAGTAAACAACAACTGTACAATAGTGTTACAAGTCCTCATACTAACCAACTGCTTTTCACACATTTACTACACGGTAAACAAAATCACTCACACATCAATATTCACTCTTTGGTAATTGTGGAAAAATATTTTGTTAAAATATGAACAGATCAAAAATTGTGTAGATAAAAATTCACCCCGACCCTGATTTTAGGATTTGTGATAATGAATTGTTTGCTTGTTTTGCACACACAGAACCATACCTGTCTTCTGGAAGGCCTCTAGCTGTTCGCTGGTGAGCTCCTTGATAGAACCGATGACAGATTTGAAGGCCCCCTTTAGTCTCTTCCCCAGCACCATGTGGTCCGGCTCAGCTCTCAGACTGATGCCGTACTTGTCCTTGTCTGTTGACAGGGTCAACTGTCGCACATTTAGCTCCTGGAGGATGAAAAATGTAGAAAAGGTAAAGTCACTGTCTTGTATTTTCCTGTAGAGAGAATATACATAAGTACAAAGGGACAAAAACAAACTTTAAATGAGACAAGAACTAAAACAAATGATAAAAAATACATGTATGTATATGAATGCAATGTTCTCGAAACTCAAACTGAAAATATAGTTCCCGTCGAAAATTGTAAGAAGAAAAAAAGCCTCTTGCCCAAGGCATGTGCTGTAAAGGTCAAATTTAAAAGTTGATCATAGAATCAAACCCTCAGAGAGTAACTCAGCCATGAAATCAACCAGTCAGTCTTTAAATCTCATATAAGCTATTCATCCTTTTCAGTCACTATCTTTCTGCCTTTCAATAAAAAAATGTTTTATCCTTCAATCTTAATGGAGAGAAATCTGTGATCCAGTCATATCTGGTGAAGCAGCAGAAACGCTTCTTTCAGTCAATCACACTGAAAAGTTGAGGCTTGAGATTGAGACCGAACTCTGGAATAGTTGACCTGCACAGAGAGCAACAGAGCTGCTGTAGTGGTGAGTAGACGAGTAGAAAAAAAGGGCAGCGTGGGGTTGATGGAAGAAGCTCAATTTCAGATGAGCTTGGTTATTTTTAAGTGCTCAGAAGATGATCTTTGGGTTTTCTCTCTTATGTGTTGGACAGCCAAATAAAAATTGTACACTTTTATAGAAAATGCTAAATTTCTGTTTTCGTGTTTTTGCAATTTAAGATTTTTGTCTGCTGAGCACAACGTCAGGAAATGGTCGAAACCTTGAAATATGCCAGTATTGCCAGAATTACTAACAAAAAACATAAGACATAATGGTAAAAATCTGAATCAAGAATTAATCTACTAAAGCTACATCAGGCACATTAACAGAAACTCAGGGATTTTCTCAGGTCTGCAGGATCCTAACTGTTCTCAATTGTGATCCAATGAACCTTGTTTATTGGGGGGACGATTGTAGCCAGTGAGGTTAAACGGTTCTCCCACCAGGAATGAAACGGAGTGAGAGATAAGAAGGGGCTTGAACTAAGATAAAGGTTTCCCATGTGAACCTTGATCTGTAAATGTTCACTCAATTTTCCTGGTCAGCATCATGGAATTAATTTTCCATCTAATACACACAAGCATCTTGAGAACCTTTCCACACCTACGGGTGTTTTCTGATCAGATCTTTTCTCGGGACATCTCCGCTAAGTGGACAAAACATTTGACCTGATGTTATGGCACACACTTGACCGCAGTGAATTCATTCTTAGTGAGACTTGGAGTTGTGCAATGTTATAAATTCCCAGCATAATTCCACGTGTTTCCTGGAATGACCAGGTCTAATCAGCCAGAGTAATGAAAAATACCTCAGAGGGCTGATTGGCCACTTTATCACCACATTACATATTCAGCACATGTCTTCCACACCAAATTTCACCTGTCCATTGATAGTAGCACTCTGCTGATTTTTTCATATCTAGATAATCTGGAAACTGAACTCAGTAATTTTTCAAGCTGCATGTGTGAAAGCGAAAAAGAGATGATGAACTCTAATGATATTACAGTAGACAAACAGATGAACGGTAATTAAATGTTTCCAATGACAGACTGAAAAAGAATTACGCTCAAGTGTTTCTGAGCATCATTTTCCAAGTCAACTGCTCCACCTCCTTTTTAAATGAACCAGAAATTTTAATTACAGCATGAGCATGAGATGTTCTCCCTCTGATATTCATCCCTTCAACCAAGTCGACAAACAGAAGTGGCAAAAAGGATCTCTACTAATTTTATATTACTGATCAAAGCATAGTAGACCAACAAAAATAGATGACGGGGAAACATTTTGAAGGGAAGATGAGAAAAACATGCTCCTCTTGACTTGAAAATGGTTAAAAAAATTATACTTTACCACGACAACAGACTGAACAAAGTTTACAATTGACCCAACAAAAGAAAATAATTTTCTTGGAATCACATTACATTTAGCTGATGGGTTTATCCAAATCGACTTACAATAAGTGCATTCAATCATAAGGGTACAAACCCAGAACAACAAGAATCAAGTAAGTAGAATTTGCATCAAAAAAGGCCAAACTACAAGTGCTACATGTAAGTGCAACAATTGTTTTGTGTTTTTTAGGGGGAATAAAATCAATTCATAAAATACATAAGATAGTTAACTTACTTCCAGGATGTATTTCTGCAGTGACTGGATGTCTTTCAGAGCCTCTGAGTCCTGGTAAATAACCACCACCTCCTTCAGTGGGTACTGAAATACACATCAGATGTTCAACAAAGAGCAAAACAGAGCCGTTACAATCAACTTGACCAACAAACCTACACCAAACTAGACCTGTTGCTCTTATCTTTCAAACAAGAGACATTTACAGCTACATAAATCACACTTTTGGATTTGCAATTACATATTTCTATGATATCATATATCCTTAACTCTACAATCCCTATCAAAATGCATAATATATATACCTAAGTTTGAAAATAATAGAATTGAACCTGTCAAACATGTATTTTTGATTAACATTGCAGTGTCTGAGTGAATTAAGTAAACTGAAGATTTACCTTGACGGGCAGGGTCTTCCTGTCTCTGATCACTCTGCCCAGCTCAATCACAGACTGCATCTGAGAGACGGCGCTCTCAATGCGCTTGTCGATCAAACTCTCGCTGAAAAACAGATGCAAAGGTAGTGTCATCCCATCATGAGTTGTGGATCTGTACATTTGCCTTTCACATATGAACACGTTCACAAGAAAGCGTCTGCAATGTCCAGATGAAGAATGGTGTCTGGGTAGAGCAAGCAGAAGATGACGTACAAATTCCGCTGTAGAAAAGACGTGTTTTTCTTCACAGCACATCAGCCCTTTTCACCAAAGGCTCAGCAATCTTGTTGACTTTTTTTTTCCCCATTCATATTTCCACTAGACATTTTCTGGATATATTACAAGAGTGCTGGCATAGAAAGTTCCAGAAAATGTTTGGAGCAATGTCTCGGACATCTGCATTCTCACAAACAGCCCCTCTGGGAAATGTCAGCAAAATGTCTGAAAGCAACTTCAGGGAGGAAAAGAGAGATTTAATTGCCATGAGTGAACTTTTTTAATTTGAGCCTTTTGCGATGGTGTTATATGACCTTTCCTCTTCTTAAAATAACAATTTATCTTCTTGGGATAATTATTCTATTTTCTGTGAAATTTTGCCCAATATCAGGCCACAATTCAAGGACAGAGGTGCTTTATACAGCGACTCAGATCTCTCAACTATGGATAATGGTGATTTAGAAATCCCTACTGGGTCTTCGGTTGAGAAAAAATAATAATAGCATGTGACAAGGTTAGCAGCACAAATCCAAATGTAGACACAGTTCACAACCATCAGCGCCGAATCTGTAACATTCACTAACAGGGTAGACTGAGACTTCCACCTCCGAATTCAAATTAGAGCCGCACAGCTACTGATAATCATGCGCAGCGCTGTTAACCCTAAATGTCTGCAGAAGTATTAGCTGTGTGTGTTCACATGCACAATGCTTGTTCATCTATTCCTGCAGTGTGTGTCCCCCGTGTGCATACAAAATTGGAGTAAAATGACAGAGGAGAGGACGCCAGGGACAGCCAATCATTTAATGAGCTGATTGAAGAGCAGCTGCTCCCACTGCCTGATTGGTGGCTGACCTTTGGGAGGAGGGTGAAGTAGTCCCATTTGACAACACAAGGGACGAGCGGCTAATAACACCGCAGCAGTGAGAGCTGCCAAAGTGACAGAGGAGATTATATGAACCATTACACAAACAGTTTTCCTTCTGCTAAATCAAGTGGGTATTTAATTATGTCAGAACTTTTTTTTGTGTTAAAGATGATGCAATTAAGTTTAGGTAATTAAAAAACTCTCCCAGGCATTAACAAAACTGATCTGCCACCGAGGCATACAGTTAACTGAAGTAATTGAAGTGAAGGGGATGAAATGATGATGTTTTCTAAGCAGCATCCATTTACAGGCCTGACAATCAAGGCAAGCCCTTGTTCTAATTCTGATTTCTATATTTTGAGGTCTCTGAGGAAACGCTCTTGTACCTCTATAAAAGTGATATCAAAAGTTTTTACTAAAAATACAAACAACATTTGGGTGACTTGTTTGAGGGCACGATACCCCTGAGGTTGAAGGAGGCTGTGCGCAAGGATTTCTGTCACTTCCTCCATTTCAAAGGACCTGGTTGTTGGTTGGAACTGACTAATTTTGGAATCCCTCCCATTATGCAGAAACAATGAGCCATGCATTGCATTTGACACATGAGCAGACAAAGAAAATCTGCTCAGAAAGTGTGCAGTGACAAACTTTTATCTAGAGGATCCAGTAAATCTATTAAAATATAATTATGAAAATCATTGGCTAAAGTACAAATGAAGGGGTAAGTGAAAGACAAAAAAAAAACACGGAGGAAGATGAAGCAGATGAACAGCAGGAGTAAAAAGAGATGATTGAGTAAAGGCTCAAAGACAACAGCTGCTGTGAAGCCTGACACTCATCTAGAAACTGCTGTGGACTGCTTCAAAACACTTGTGTAGGGAGGAGTTCGGAGTGTGATACGTTGGGGTAAAGTAAGGCCACAGTCTCTTGCTGAACCTGATCAGGCTCTGGATCAGCAGTGGATATTCTTTGAGAAAAGAGAGCGAACACAGGGAGGGTTTCGCTGTGTGAGCTGCAGGCCGACTACGAGGTAAGCGCAGCAGTTTTTAAACCAAATTTAAACCCTAGTCACGTTCACTTGGTTAAAACCCTGTGGAAGTAAGCGTCTGCTCTGATGAAGTGTACTTAACACATCATACTGGATCCAGGGGTGCTGCTCTATCACAGAATGAAAAAATTTAAATGAAAACTATTATTATTAATAAAAGAAGGTTTCTTTCAGAATGTATTAGTGGAGGTTGTAAGTGCTGAGTTCTCCAACTCTGCTGGGTAAACTGCACTTCTAGCTTATGATTATCAAACTAATGTCAGCATAGAGTTCTGCTTCTTACCAAGGTTTTCAAAAACACTGATTTATTGGCCTGCCTAAATATGAACGTTTACCACCATATATGATTTTTCTTTTAAAATTCAGCAGACGTGGTGTTGCCGACCATTTTCTTTTTTTTCTGTGTTCCAGTGCAGTTTCAGTCACCCCTGCTGTTCCTGATACATTGCATTCGCAACCATATGAGGTCACTGCGACTTTTGGCCTTTGAACACTTAAAATCTAATCAGTTAATCTATTGGTCTAAGTGAACATTTGTGCCAAATTTAAAAGATTTCTCTTGATGCATTCTTAATTTACAGGATTTCACAAGACAAAAAAACAACTTTGTAAAGTCACAGTGACCTGGACCTTTGACCACCAACATTTAATCAGTTTATTCTTGAGTCAAAGTGAATGTTTGTACCAAATTTGAAGAAATCCCTTCAAGGCATTCATGAGATGTTATGTTCACAATGGAATGGACTTTATCTCGAAAATATTGGCTGTTGCAGGTGCAGAGGCATAAATAGAAACACAGTATGGGGAGTGGGAGCTAGGTTGGGGTAAGTATGGACATGACACACTGACCATAAGTCACTTCTCTTAGCATGGACATCAACAACACTTTCCCCAAGTGATCATGGGTTTTTGGACCTGTCATTAAATGTCCTCTTTACTTTTAACACCTTGAAAGAGCCATGTCCCTTAAACTGAAGCTTTAATGAACTTTTTTTTTTTTTCTACCTGACTTGGGGCATCATGAGATAGTGAATACTGCTGGTGTCCTTGTCGTCGACAGAGGCAGGGTCGATGAGGTGACGCAGATTTTGGTACATCATCTCCGTGATGAAGGGTGTGAATGGAGCCTGGGGTACAGGAGGAAAGAAAGTAGACATGAGAGAAAGTAAGAAAGTAGAAGTAAGCAAGATCCTCTGTAGTTTAGTTAATTAACATTTTCTGACAGAAAGGTCCAAACGTCAGAGGGAACAGTGAAATCAGTTTACACCTTGTTAGTGAAGCCTTTTTTCTCAGATAGTTCAAAGGTTCAAATTGAATTTTGCCATACTGTGAGTGAGGTTACTTCTAAAGCAATTCTCCTCCATTTCAACCACAGCTTGTATAGCTCACAGCTGGTCTGTATTGATCTGGGTTACGCTAACTGGCTCTTAGCGTGCCTCTGGCCTCACATGCAAACATCTTCAATGTGTTATAAATAAAAACTCCTACTGCTCATGCACTATTCATAGCCATGCCAACACATGCACACACCTCTTCCATACCAGAATCATATCTTTGTCTTGAACACACAAAAGCAGAATCTCACCATAAGACATTTCCCCCATACATTCTCTTTTCTCTCTCTCAGTCAAACACACAGGAACAGTATGACTCACCATCAGCCTGCACATGGAGAACAGAACACTGAAGAGGGTTTCCAGCGCCCACAGGCAGTCCTCAGTGCCACTCTCTCCCTACAAAGTTCACACACACACACAAATATCTACATATTTCATCCTCTTAGAACAGTGAATAGATAAAAGTGCTCTGGCGGAAAGCAGGACGTGTATCCACGATCCAAGTCAGCCAAATGTTGACTCGGAGGGCTACAAACTGACTGATGCAACATGTGCACAGATGAACAGAGGATGAAAAGATTTGCTGGTAGTACTGTTTCCATTTAAATAATAAATACTGTAAATTATGTGCCGAAGAAATCCTAAAAACATACAGGAAATAAACTATTTATTTCTGCATAAAGCTATACTTTGACCCATCAGATACTGCTAACACTACTTGTGATGACCATAACTGTCTAAAATTTGCACTTCCCATGCTTATTACATAAAAACAACACCAACACTAAAAGAAGCACAAAGTAAAAGCTAATTTCTCACCTTCAGGCGGCGTCTGTTGGTTCTGACGTACCAGTTGGTGAGCATGTCCACAAACTTGACCAGGCGAGGCACGACAGTGTAGAGGCGGTAAGCTGGAAAAAGAAATTACTCTCAGTTGATTTATATAACCTTTATTTAACAAGTAGTCACATTGACATCAAGATCCCATTTGTTGGAGAGACATAGCACAGCAACAGGGATGGATTTTAGGATATCAGTTATCTTCTTGGTCACTGTCCACATCAAGTGGGTTAATGGAAGAAAATATTTTGTGTGTGTGTGTGTCTCACCATCCATCTCAGCCTTGAAGAACTGAATAAGCGACTGTGTGAAGGACTGAATCCATTTGTCCATGATGTTATCACTCTGCTTTGCCGTGTTCTTGTTGTACAGAAACTGAATCTCATCCTCCTGACGGGAGAAAGATGAGCACACATAAAAGACATATACATTGAGAAAGCATAAACACTAGTAACCATTTTATTTCCTGATTGACAGAACATAACACATTACATCACTGGTGTAAAACAGCTTAACAGAGCCTGATCCCAGTCGCAAATATGAGCAAGAAAATAGAGAAGCAGTTTGGACCTGAACATATAGAAATACTCACACGTACCATCTACAGGCAAGAAAAGCAATTGCAGCTTATTTGAATGTTTGCGCCCCCTTTGGACAAAGGGTCTGAAAAACCTTAATGTAAACCCTGGTCATAACTGTTTCAAAAGAGAAATTAGTGAAACATGTTTCAAATACTAAATGTCTGGGTTTTTACAGCAATTTAAGTTTTCAACTGTAGCTGTGATACACGTAGTCTGTACCTCAAAGTGCAGCTGAAATTATTTTACTTGTCTGTAGGTGGCAGCACCGATAGGTCTGCATCTGCAGCTCTTCACAGCGGTTTGTATTTCCTAGCAGGTTTACAGATGTAACTGGGAGCACTGACTAAGAGGTTTCACATATGGTATTTTTGTGGAGGAATCGCTAAATAAAATTATAGGAAAGTAAAATTCATCAACATTGTGTTCAATCTGTGGTGTTCACATACCATCTGTAGCCTTTGAACGTTCTGCACCAGAAAACGATAGGCATTATACCATGGGAGGAAGACATCTTTCAACACGTCCCGCACACCCTCCTCTTTGAAACGCAGGTTCTCTGCTCTCACGACAGGAGAGTTGATGAGGTAAAGTCTACAGAGAAAGAGAGAGAGACAGTGAAGGAGTTGGTAAGAATGCAAGTGTGCAGCAGGACTGATTATGAATGAGAGCAAATAAGAGAGTAAATTAATCTTTGATGGATGAATCCTTAAATAGCTGTATGCATGAGTGGCCCCATACGCTCATGTTGAAGGGGGCACAGAAACATTGTTGTCTCTTTGCAAATTTAATTGTTAAGATAAACTCATCTATACACCAACATGCAGTAAATACCTCAATATCAGTTAGTACTGCATGTTATTAGTCTGTGTGCATCATAACAGTTTCCAGTCAGGTAGTGGTATACATGTCTACATGAGAGAGATTTTAATTCATAAATTATCTGGTGATAATGAATTAACTTTATCTCTGTCTCAAGCCACTGTACAAATTCAGTATGTGGGAGGGTAAGGTATACCTTTTTTAAAGTGAGATCGAGTAAATGTCAGTGAATAACTTTTAGATTGTAACCTTCTTGATGTATAGATAAGGCAGCCTAACAGAACCCTGTTAAAAATTTAAACCATTTCTTAACACGGTGTTTGAGTGAACCACATCAATAATTGAAGCTGTATCTAACCTCTCACAAGATGCAGCTGACAGTATACACCGGCAAATGAAACAAGGTGAGCTGCTTTGGATTTAAAAACACTTTGCGTTGATCTATTCAACATTTTTCTGATGCAAAGTGCTTCTTAATCGCTGCTGTTGGGTTTTAGTAATTTCCTCATCCAAAGGATAAAGAGAAATGTTAAAACTTCAGTCACACGCAAAACTCTACTCTCTACGGAAACTAAGAAAACACTGTAGGGAGATCATTATTATCATTTTTTAAAGTAAATATGATTAATGCAAAGCTTTTCAGCTATCAAAAATATCTTAATTTGATTAGCTTGACCCAATTAAGCAAAATGTCCAGCTTGAACATGTTCTGCAGAAAATTTGGGCCAAAACCTATATTTACCAACTGCAAGCACCCCAGAGAAAATTAATCTCTTCCCTCCATTGCAGCAATATGCTGACACTTTTGGTTGGTTTTGCTTAGGAAATATAAGATAATTCTGAATGCAAGCTGACATGATGCAATGTCATGCAATAGGCCACGAGGGATTTTAATAGCAGCCAATCCAAGATAGATTGGCAATAAAATGCAAAATAGACACAACTGGTAACTGGAAAAATACATCTAAGTGTCTTAAATTGAGCACACATGAAGAAAGACTGAATCTCTTCACCGAGTTTGACTCGAAATACTTTAACAAAACAAACATCTCACTGTCTGTAACTTTTTTGACTTTCCATTTGTGAGTTTTTACTGTGAAAAGCTGATACCATGATGGCTTCAATGTGAGTAAAGTTTCAAACCAGAAAAGAGAAAATGGGAGCATTGAATGAAAACAGACCGTCGCCCTTGTATTTTTATCTCTGCAGCTCACTCTTCTTCAGTGTATATGTGAGCATATGGTGCAACTGCATAGTGCTTTATTCATTAGGCCATATGGCAATGGCACCCTCACTGCTCAGGGCAAAGCAGAGAATGTATGACGAGGAACAGTGAGTATGTACAGTATGCATGAGCGTTTCTACTGTATGTAAGAGTGGGGCAGTTTCTAGTTAAGTGTAGACAGTGATTAAAACCTTTAAAACTCTGCCTGCTATAAACATAAGGTAGGTTAACACACTCAACCCAGCCACAGGCACACAGCTTCAGAAACACACTCGCTCACATTCAGGCACACAGCTGACCTGAGGGCATCGGCTCCATAGTTCTGCACTATCAGTCCCGGATCGGGGTAGTTCTTCTTACGTTTGCTCATCTTCTGTCCATCGCTGCAGGAATGAGACAAGCACAGGCATTAATGTGCAGACACACGCATGCATGCACAAAAGTGCATGTTAGAAACCATGCACTTGGTATTCAAATTAGTCAAAGTCCTTCCAGGTCAGCAGGCCTGTGAGCACAGTGCTGCGTTTAGACCCCAGGGCTGAGGACAAGCAGCCCTATTGTAGAGCAGCTCTCAGGGCTCAATGTTACAGCACACATACCACACTGATCTTGAGAAACAGCAGAAAGATTAAGAGGGGATGAATGGGCAGGTGAATAAAGAGGGAGAAAGAAAATATCAAAATGATGGTTGAAAGAAGGAGGAAAGTATAGGTAAGTACGAAAACTAAAAGGGTAAATGTCTGGAAAAAAATCTTGTCTATCTGTTGTTATTGTTATCAAAGACCAGAACTAACAATGAGCTGGTCCTATACTAATGTACCTCTTGAACCTGAATATAGCCAAAAATTGATGTAGCTAAATTCTCTGTGCCTCAGACCAACACTGGTGGACAATACACTCTTGAAAGTATGTGGGTATGTAGGTGTATTGCTATACATTCCTTCATTACCATTGACACAGCAGTTCATTATGACTCAATGCACATACAAATCCAACTGCTGTAATTCCTCATTATGACACCAGATCTAAAGCTGAAGATTGTGCCAAACAAATGACCCATTTTCTTGGGTTTAAGTGATTAAATTATGTTTTACACTTCATAAAAATCTATAAACTAATGTCTGCAGTAGAAACCAATGAGCTTGAGGCTGTGAGTCTCAAAATTGAAAGGAAAGTTGTATAATATTGTGAAAGACAGAAAATACAAAATTATATCAGCCTTAACCTTTACTGATTATTTCGGAATTGATAAAGGGAAGAATTTGCTAAGGAGTCAATTTGACTGACCTGGCAAGTACCAAGCCATTAACTATGACGTTCTTGAAGGGTGGTTTGCCAAACAGGGCTGTGGAGAGCACCAACAGGGTGTAGAACCTGCAGAAGGGAACAAAAGACAGTATGAAAGGTCAATGTAACACGCTTGACTGAATGTTATAATTCAAACAGTGTTCCAATTAGATTTCTTCATTTCTGATTCAACCATTTGCATTTTACATCTAATATTAATCCATTACATTGAATAGTTTCATGAAAAGAAATGTCAAACTGATGTCTATCCTGCTCATCAATTCCCTCAATGACCTCAGCAGGGAAGTGTGTCTCTACCCCTCATCTGTCACTCTCTTTCCATCTATCCCTTCATTAGTTCTCTCCATCCAACACCCTATTCATCCACAGCTTACCATCCCCTCGTCTGGTCAATGCCTTCGGCGATGAAATCAGCAGGGAAAGTGTCCTCAAACTCCTTCCTGTTTTCAAAGGGGTAGTGGACCTGGGCGTACGGCATGCTGCCGCTCTCAAACCAGCAGTCAAACACCTCTAGGATCCTCCGCAGCGTGCCTTTACCACAACGTGACGGGATGGTAATACTGTCAATGCTGGGCAGAGAAAGAGTGGACAGAAGGAAGGAAGGAAAGAAAGAGAAAGGAAGAGCGATTGTTGAGACAGATGGAGGCAATAACAATTTGACAAGTACAGTTTTATTTCAGGTTTTAGGAGCGCCATAGGGAACTATTTACACATTTGTACACTGTATAGATCCATGGGTCTATAGGCTTTTCTGGCTGCAGTCCAGAGCAATGATTTTATAATCTTTCACTACTGGGAACGAGCTTTAAGAACAGCGGTGCTCATGTTGTGCTGAAGCGCAGTACAATAAGGTCGGTTATTGCTTTGGGTTATACTTTTCAGACATGAGGATATGGATTAATTTACTCTAAATACAGACTTGCTGGGATTTAGCCTGTGGACAAAGTCATTGTTTTCTACAGAGAAGTTACCTAAGCTGAACAAAACTGATGAACCTTGTTTCGGCAGTAGTTACGGTATGTCAGTCTGAGTGAAATACCCATTAAACCCAGATCAAATACCCTATTCTGAGCAAACAAACACACCAAGAGATCCAATAAATACATGTATACAGACAGTTAAGCACATTTACTTTCTTCTCCCCTCCAGCAACAACCTGCTTCACAATAATAGAGTTGTACGTATTCAGGCCTATAAAATACTCCATTAATGTCCTGTACTGCTCTTAAGAGACAGTACAGGAGAGTTATAAACCGGACATTTACAAAGAGAAGGACATCGCTGGGTACATCTGATGGAGTTTAATATGGGATTTTTTGAAGGTAGTCAAATTTAAGATTTGTGTAAAACATTCACTTTCCTAAAATGCAATACAGGCAGAGCCATTATCTTCAGTAGCTGGCCACGTCACATATTATAATCTGGGCTGATTACAGTCTATCCATTTAGCTGTTAGTGAAAATGAGAGGCAATTAGCTGATGACAAGCAAGAGAAGAAAGTGATCTGTGTTCCACAACACTTCAGGTCACATTAGAGGGACACAGGGTGGATCTAAGATGCAGCAGACAGACGCAGAAAAGCACAATCCTCATATCACATAACCTCCCCTGTCCACACACAGAGCATGTGAAATTGATAGCACCGCTCTGTCAGGGCAGACAGAAATATGACTGAGTACATGTTCAGGTGTTTGGCTGATAATCTCGGCGGCTGATAAGTGACTCACCTCTCCCGATGCAGATCAGTTACTTTGACTCCGGACAGTTCCTCCAGTTCGGCCATGGACCCCACACACACCACCTGATGAATAACACACACATCACAACAATAACACCCATTAGTGCTAAAACAATAAGATGATTAATGAATAAGCCCGTTGACAGGAATTTATGTATTGAGCAGAAATATCTAACATTCTCTGGTTGCACCGTTTATAATGTGAGATTTCATTTTTTTTGTCTCTAAGCTTCTTTACTGTAAATGGAATATTTGTTTTCTTCTCGGACACAGAACAAAAGACTAGTTGAGTTCAGTTAACTGTAAAATGAGCAAGTAAGACATGTTGATTTGTGTAATGCAGTGCTTGGAAGTTTTAAAACGCACTGGACAAATTAAATTGTACCTTTTTACCAGCCTGTGTAATAAGGAATTGAATCACTCCTTTTTCCACAATTCCTTCTATTTAAATTCAAAGTTTGACATTTTGGAGAAGAAGCTTTCTTTTGCTTCTTGCCCAGTTAGATGACATGACACTGCTCTGCCTGTTGTTTTTATATTTTAGTTTAGTAAAAGTAACGTGTTTGGTTCAAAGTGGTTAGTCGTTGTTTCATTTTGATTTGTGAGCTTTAGAGGAGCTGGTAGGCACAGTCTTTAAACAAAGGAGCATTTTACCAATAATGTCAAACTAATTCTTTAAACCCACAGGAGTTGAAACTAGTTGTATTTCTTAGGATTTGGGTTATTTATTTAAAGCCTGCAAAGGAATATTAGTGCTAAACCTCATAATCCTAATTAATTTGTCTACATGTTTTATTAGATTATTACAAAAGGAAACACTGTGTGAAGTAGACCTACTTCAACAAACTTCCTGAGTAACTTTACCTGAGAAATTGTGGTTAAGTGTGTTATGTGGTCTCCTCAGAGAATTAACCTGTAGGCTGTGCTCTAGTTTTAACATAGCAGCAGGTATCATGGCCCAGATTCAGCCTGACACAACACCACCAGACATAAAAGAAGACAAGGGTAAAAGAAACTCGAGAAGACAGGGACAGAGAGATAGAGAGAAAGAACAAAAAGAAAAGATACTGAGAGACAGCAATCATACTGACACATGGAGACAAACGCACAAAGACACACACGCACTTGAGGTTTGAGCTTTAGGTGTATGATTTGCCGCTGAGTGGTGTGTGAGGGAATCAGTCAGGGAGCGTTCTGGAGTGTTCTGGAAATGGTCACAATGCTATTTCCAGCAAACAGGTCGCTAGCTGTCCCTCTTTCAGCCAAGGGACCAACGTTTCCGAAACACTCAGACAACCTAATTCTGACTTTTCTATACAGTTCAGTCTGCTTCACATTGTCAGCTCATGGGATCTGGCAACAAACAAGCTGCTGTCAGACAACTTCAGATAATCTCCTGAAATTATCCAGAGGGGCTGTTTATGACAATGTAAATGTCAGAGTCAGATGTTTTAAACATTCTCCATCTGAGTTTTTCCTGGAAAGCCAGAGTGAGTCCATGTGAGAATACAGCAGATCTACCACGAGCGAGTGGGCGTGTTAATGACTTTACCAAACCAAGCAAAACTGAAAAAAACAATAAGAATACAAATATCTCAGGATGAAAAACAGGAGCCATATATATAGTCGACACAAACAAAGAGGTTGTGTCCGCAGGAGAATTTATATGTTATATCCAGCCTCAAGCATGCTCTACCAAGATGCCACCCCTCCTCTGAATGTTCCGGACATGTTCCTGTTATTGTGAACATGTCTGACTAAGAGAGTCTTCTGCAGTGTTCTTTATATGTGAAAGGCAAACTCCAGAAAATGCCCGGGCTGAAAACAGGACAAACATTTATATTTTAGCACTCTTCTACACTGCCTCTTTAATCAATTGTCCTCTCGCTGCATTCATCTTTCATTTTACCCTCTTCTCTTCCTTCTTTCCCCCTGAATAATTTCTTCACTGGTTAATTTATTCTGACCCCTCCTCCTCCACCACCCTATTTTCTGTCTCTTCTCTCACCACCGTTTGCTGTTTGTCTCGAAGACCTTTGAAGTCGCCTTAACTGGCATGAAGACAAACCAAACACATTTTGGTTCATGTTTATTTGCTGTTTACAATAATGAATCATTCATGCGTTGAGTTTATGGAAGCACTCGGTAACAGAGCCTGAGGGGAGCTGACTCTGACTGCGGTACAGAGGCACGCTACACTCTCTGGTTTGACACCATGGTCACCTCGCTCAACCACGCCAGAGTCTCTCCTACACATGCCTCCACAAACACGAGAAGGCCCGATATGCAAAAAGATGCAAGTGTCAAAAAGAGGTCAGGGAGAAAAATACATTTCACCCTGTCAGTTTATGAGGAGCTGCATTTCTGCTCCCTCACAGCAGACAAATCTTCCTTTGGAGACACATTTTCCCCTTAACTCATTTCTATGGTAAATAAAAGTCAGTGACTGAGAGTTCAACTTTTCAATTATGCCATCTCATGCTTAGCTCAGATTAATTTGTGAGTGCTGCCAACGCTGTGATTAGCTCCCTTAGAAAAGAATAACTGTCTTGGTATTTGGTCATGACACAGACAAATTGTGTGAGTTCTGAAAAGTACAAAGACACATTAGAAGCATTTAAGTGCCTGTTATGTGTTTTTCTGACCTCCTCAAAGTCATCGCTGACCCAGAGCGGGATAGGTGTGCCCCAGTAACGGTTTCTTGAGATGGCCCAGTCACGTGCGTCTCTCAGCCAGTTCCCAAAACGCTTCTCACGGACAAAGTCTGGAACCCTAAGGAGACAAGAGACACCGTCATATAAAGCTGTTTTGTATTACTTTAAACTATAAAACATGATCACAACAACAGGAATAATGAGAAGAAGGATTCCTTCCTAAATGACACAATAGGTATATTAATGTCACAATATTCATATTTATATCGCAACACTCAATGTGATGAACTGTATAACAAGAGAAAATATAATAGACTTTTGTAACTCTAATTCATTTATTCCCTTGTCAAGACCTGGAGATATCATGATTAATTTAATATGCAATGTATTTTCCACACCAACAGCAAGCATGATTATAATGTCCAAGATTATTCCTTTATTGGATTCTTTTCCTCCTCTTCATTTTTAGCCCTAAAAATAAACTGCACTAGTCTCTTTATGCAGCTTAACCGCAAAGGTTAACACTCCCTCCAAGGCACAATCCTTCTCTGTACCCCTTTTCTTGCTCTTGCCGTCTATTTTTCCACAACCGATTTCTTGCTTTAATCCACTATCTCACTATCTCTTCCTCTTTTTTCCCCTCTCCCCCTCTCTTACCGTGCCAGGCCATGTGCTCAGAAGAATGGAGGAGGAGGAGGGGGGAATTAATCGTTGTCAGGATCCACGCGCTAAGCAACAAGTTCATCAATTCCCATTTATAGGAGGCATTTCTATTTAGGACCCTAATATATCAATTTAATGATTTTTTTTTTCTTCTTTTGCTGCTGCTGCTCTCCGTCAGTACCGCCTAACCACTCCTCCACCCCTCACCCTCCCTTTCTCTCTCTCCCTCGTTTAGGCTAAATGTAAAATTTAAAGTCTTGTGCTGAAGACGCACAGAAGAGTCGTTTACCACAGAGAGGCTTCTCTTATACAGTATGTCAGAGGGACAGAAGTTGCTGTCAGGAAGGAGAAGGATTGAAAGGGTGCATGATGGGAAATAAGTAAGGAACATTTACAATGTTTAAGGTCAAGGTGCAAACAATTAGCCAACTGACCTTTCTCTAAAATGAATAGTGATTGTCAAATCACAGCTGAGCAACAGCAACAAGTCATGGCGGGAGTGTCGAGCTTTGACTGTGGTGAAGTGAGTGCTAAGCTTTAGTAGATGCCGAGATAAAAGAAGCTCCTTTGTTTCTTTCTGCCCGACATGAGGGACCCTGTTTCCAACTTTACTAAAGAATTGGAATTGTAACTCTGTCGCTGTTTTCATTATAAAGTGCATATGCAAAGTATAGAAAGTTTTAAAGGTGTAGAAATAGTAACTCGGTGAAGTGGTCTAAGTGAACAGTCAACTGGGTTTAAAAAGCAATGAAAAGAAGCAACAGTGCAACCTGAGTCATTTTCAGACCAGTTAATTAACTCTGCATTTTCTTCTCTCTAATGGCCGAGAAACTACGTGCTGAACACAACTGTGGCTACCTTCCTGCATCTTACACCTCAAAAGAGACCAGCTCCCCTTTCATTAATCCGTTCATTAATTTATTCAGACAGAGCTACAGACATCTGGAGAAATCAGTCAGTGGATACGAGTGTAGCCACTGCACCAACTGAGTATAAAGAGATAAAATGAACAAATCACTGAGAATATGATAACTAGCACTTTGCTTACTGAAGGGGCTCTTATACGTCTCTCATCAGTTAAAATGAACCTCGTACAGAGGTGCTGAACTCTGCAAGGATTATACTTTTATGAAGATGCTGATGAGTTGGCAACTCTCGCTGAAAGACTGAATTTTCTTGGGAGTAAAACTCAAGAGTGAAGCTGGGATCTCATCAAAAAGAGAAAAATAATCTTTTAAATCTAAGCCTAATAAAAAGCTGCATAGGAGCATCACAAGAGGGAAATGTGTATATAGCAGCTACATGTTACAGAACATTACAATGAATTGACAGAGATTCTTTAGACACATATAATAAAAAGATTTGTCTTTCTAATTATCTTCTATGAAAGCAGTTTGTGAGGAAACGGATGACCTTCTGTAAATGTTATTTGTTTCACTTAGGAACAAATACAGGAAGTGACTCCAGATGTCCTGGCTGCCATTAACGGTTCATGGGCAACAGGAAATAAATCTGAGAGTGGAAACTGGAATGTTTCTGCATCCCAGACCTTAAACTGGGGTGTCCATACTAAGAGACTTCTCACATGCCATCCAACTTCTTAATTGTCCCCTAAGGCACAAACATACATATGGACGTGGTTGTCCTAAATAATAGACTCAATTCCCAGTGTATTAGGTGCCCTTTGCTAAAGCTGAAATTCAACTGGATGGTCCATTTATTTTAATGGTGCTGTTCAGCTTTTCACAAATTACATTCTAACCATAGTTTTTCTTGAAGAATAATAAAATCTTGAGGTAGCTTCTGGTGCCGGACTGCTGTATTGGACTGCATTAGTTTGAGCTAGATGCAACTGAGTGTATATAACACAACTACCCCTTATATCAGGAATTTAGCCTTTAAAGTAGTGTGTGTGTTTGTGTCGCTTTCCATGTACATGTGTGTCTGTGCGTCTTCACCTTCCTAGCGGCTAGTCATTCATCTCAGGTTGACAGTCCCATTACCAGAGGCAGCTACTGTGGCTGAGAAAAAGAGCACTGGGAACACCAGGGGTAATACCACTTAGCAAAAGCCATCATGCTGACACTTACTTTCCCTCCACTCTGCCATTACAATTAGAATTATGCTAAAGTTTTCTATATAATACCAGTCCCATGTGCATTATAATAATGCCAGGCTTGATGAGAAATGAAGAGAAGTCACTTCAACAAGTCTTATTTTAAATCTAATCTTGTCATTTAAAATGATTATACCCAGGAGTGGATGCCCTGCAGACAGAGGACCATGACTGAGACAAACAACTTGATGTAGTAGCACAGAGTCGAGACTGTAATTGTTTTGGGACTGTGACTTCTGTCTGTCTTCACTGATATTTTACACCACTTGTTTAGCAAGTAGCTCATGGCTCCCACTTGACTACTGTCAGTACTGCTGGTTACCACAGCTTTCAGAGAACAGCTCACCAGTAGCATTTTCCATTGTTGTCGAGGAGTTTGTCCACCATGTGCTCCACCCGGACAAACCAGCTGGGGACGGCTTTGTAGATCAGGGGGGTGTCAGACCTGGAAGTACAAAAACACATTTAATAACATATAAGGATGCAACACAAAGACTTTAACTGGTAAAAAACAATATTGCAATATTTTGCATTTGTGATTGAAATTTGAACTAATAACTCAAGCTATTCTTTTTTGGGATAATATGCATCATAAGAAAGTGGATTCAGAGGGAAAATGGTCCAAGAGGGATTGAAATACAGTGCACGTTCACATACTAAGTGAAAATAATTGTGATAAAGTGATTTTTTTTTTTTGCAATTATATTCACTTGGTTGACTGCTCAAAGTTTTTCCATCTCAACCATGAGCTGTGGTCCTTGAAAACCTTTTTTTCCAATCTGCTTCATTCAAACTGTTCTTGTTTTACTTTGAAAATCAGGGTACTTCAACAACACACAAGGCTCTACCAGTGGTTTTGGTGCTTACATGAGAGATTTCAGTTTTTGTGAAAGCTCCTCTCCCGAGTTAAAAGGGGGTGGAAAGTATGTAAAAGAAGTATGTATGTAAAGTAAGTATGTAAAAGATGATTTTACATACATAATTTTGTGGACCAATACTTTAGCACAAGACTTCAGCATAACAACATGTGACAAGTAAAGGTGTCTGAATAATTTCTGATTACACTATAGGTCTGCTAGTGGCTAAGGGAGCATATCTCTGCATTCTTACTGAGGTTAATTAATCCGTCTCAGGTCAGCCTGCTGCAGCTCAAAGAAGGAGAGTGAATTAGTCGACTGAATAGTACATTTGTGTCAGTTCTGGTCTGCTGGTCCCTGGTAGTTACCATAAGCTAAAGTGGGACCTGGAGAGGTTGAAATTGGCTGCCAAATCTGTAAACAAGACAAATACACTAACATTTATGTAAATGTCAATGATAGTAAGCTGACCTTTGCTAGACCAGGTGGGGAAAACTGAATCCCAGTGGGGTGGTCAGAAGAGTTGAATGTGAAAAAAGCTAAACCAGATGGTGTATGTATGGGCAAATGTCGGTTGGTTACAACTGGATTCTCAGCAACTTGATCAATTAACACTGCTGTATACATCATTTGGTGCTGAAAATACATTGGTAAAAGTAAGAGCTAATAAGTCATGAGGAAGACCACGAGGTAATTAAGATGAAAATATTTGCTTAAATCTTTATGAAATTCTCTGTTTGTCTCACCTCCAGCAGAAGGGGTAACTATGCTTGAAATTGCTGGCATTGACGAGACGGCCCTCCTCCTTCAGCCACTTGATGATGTTCTTGTCAGCGTCCTAGTAAAAAAAAAAAAACCCAGAAGATGTAAATACTCTTTGCAAAATGCAGGTTCTAAGAGTGACTTCATGACTTTGTGTTTTACTGTCCATTGCGAGGTCCTAAAATGTGCCACGTTGCACCAGTAACCACACCCAAATGTTGTGTCACCCACAGGTTCACCTGTACATCACTGAAGCACGGTGTAATTTTAAATCGCCGGCCGTCAGCAAAATCAAGATTTTCAGCAGCTGCTCAATTGGTCTTTAGAAACATTTAAATGTTCTTATTTATGTATTTTTAATGCCAAACTGAAAACAAATTATGAAAGGTGAATTGAATACAAAAAAACATTAAGACAATCTAAACAAAAAAACTGAAATAATAAAAGTTATGTATTTGCAGCTGTGTTTTAATTGGCTGTTATATCTGATCTGAAACTAAATCAAAGCATGTCTTTTGCATATCTGCATATTCATTTCTTGTTTTTTGTCCTCTCTTTAAGGAGAAAAATGAAAATTACATGGTTAACACTCAACATTTATCCTTCTATACCTCTGAAAGCCTCTGAACAAACAATGGCTATGCTCTCTTGAAGAAATTTCAAGGTCACGCTCTGTTTCTACAGCTATGATAAATATCTCTATGCTGTTTATGGCATACAATCTAAAATGCAATCAGTCCAGACTTATCACACACTCTTTCATCTCCCTCCAACCAAGCCCACAATGCCATTCAAAGAAGCTCATAAATATGACTTTCCTGCCTGGTGCTGGGCAAACTGTTGGTTATGACCTCTATGTAGAGAAGTGTTAAACTTTTTCAGGCTGAACAAATGTTGTTGTGTCCTGAGCCAAGCTCATTAAAACATGAAAATACACTCATTTGAACTTCACCTGCATCCCACTGACAGCATAACCCTCTTTCACCATCTGGCCAATTTAGGGTTACTTGATACGTCACCAAATTACTCACATGTATTTAGGAAAGATTTTGAATCTGTTTGTCATCAGGAATAATTAATCAGCAGAGTTACTGATTCCAAAACATCCAATTTACTCATATTTAGTCATTTCTACTACCCCAGCTACATTACCAAATCCAGCTTGCATGATTATATAAATATAATTATCATATAGAAAACTAAGGCTGGATTTATGTGACTATTCTATATCTTAGTGGCAAATTCACTTTAATTATTTTACTTACATGATAAAGCAAAAAGCAAACTACTAAAAAAACTGGTTTTATGTTTTTGCAGTTTCAGATGACAGTAAAATTGTTAGAGAGATAATATAGAGAACAGGTGGAAAATATAAGTAATCACAGGAAGAGACAAGTAATAAGATAAAGAAAGTCACACAGGAAAAAAGAAAAACACTTCATTATTTGTATGCACTCACTTCAATCTTTATTAGGAACCAGTTGGTCAACATTAGTGTAAATGATCAATAGTTGTGTCTTTAAAACATTTGAAATTATCTGGGGCTATTTGTCCTGCTGTGTTTGGGCTGAGATTGTGACACATCCAGGCAGAACAGGAGTATTTCATTGTGAGGGTGGTGAGATCAAAACGTTGATCACAAGAAGCACTGATGGCAATAAATTGAAAAACTTCAGCAAAGGGTGGTGACAAAACAGGGGTGTGCGTGGGCAGGAATAGGAGCAGGAGTAAAGAAAATAAGTAGAATGAAGAAGAGAGGCCCGAAACATTTGAGTGAGAGGCAGTGAATGGAGGAAAAAAATTGCAGTACCAAGGACTGGAATGCAGGCGAACGCGTAGATGCTTAAAAACAATGGGGTCAGGGTGTGGGAAAGTAAATGATTGGGTTAAGGAGGCCTGGGTATTAAACCTCAAAACATTTCTGGTATTGAGAGAAATGTGCCTTTGACACCAGAATATCCAGAAATGTCAAGTACAGTAAGGTGGCATCAAGTTTCTGCTGAGATTAATTATCTTATCGTTTTTGTTATTTTGCCTCTTTTTTCCGATCAATCCTGATCAAAATCTTGGGAACACATTGCAAATTATATCTGATATTTCCCTCAGTTTTTATTGGGGGTTATTTCTGCCAATTGTAGACAATTAGGAAAATATGACATGTTTAATGTCTAGTGTTGGCTTTATTTGTTGAAATTTGGATAAAATTTTAAGATAAGCACCATTTTAGTAGCCATTCTGAAACTTAGATGTCAGCAGTGGTAGTGAAAGGTTTTAAATAATACCCAGCCATCCTCATGAGGACAGTGAGACAGGGACAGAATGGCTAAGAAAGGAAAGAATTTAGAGTCTTTGACTAAACTGAGAGAGAATCTCTTCACTCCACGATGCTCTGCCGCTGCTTCAGACCTCCTGCTCCTCTTACCCTGGACATTCAGACATCTTTGGCAATCCCGAGCCTCTGCTCCTCGCCTTCCAGCAGCTTCCTGTATGTGGCGATCTCTGCATCCAGCTTGAGCTTAATGTGCAGCAGTTCTTGATAATCTTGGAGATACTTGGTCATCTCTAGCTTGGTTTCGCAGAGCTGGGCCTCCAATTGAGCGATGATAACCTCTAGGCCTCCCACTTTATCGATGTGGGCCATCTCCATATCCTCAAGCTGTTGCTCCAGAGCAGCGTTGCGAGCCCTCAGCCCATCGATCTGGTTCTGCAGGTCTGTCACTTGGTTGTGGAAAACTGAGATCTCGTCTTTCATGGTCTTCATCTGGTCTTCATGTTTGCCAGCGTGCTCCTTGAGGGTGTCAAACTTGCTCTTGTACCATTTCTCAGCTTCCTGGACATTGCGGGCAGCGACGGACTCGATCTCTGCACGCATGTTGCGCAGGTAGGCTGCCAGGTCAGGACGATCGCCATCGAGTTCAGCAGTGATCTTTGCGTCCTCTATTTGCTTCATGAGGTCAGCCACCTCTTCATCGTGCAGCTTCTTGAGAAACTCTATCTCAGCCACCAGTTGTTCGATGCGCCTCTCCAGCTCAGCCTTCTGCAGTGTTGCGTTGTCAACGTCCTGGCGAAACTCCCTAAGAATCATTTCGGCCTCTTCTTTAAGTGCCAGCTCCTCCTCCAGCTTTAGTCTCCATACTTCAACCTCTTCTTCAATGTAGCCTCTCTCAATATCAGCGGCTCCCTTCTCATTAGTCAGGGACTCAATCAGCTCTCGCACCTCTTTAAACTTGAGCTCATATTCTTCCCCGATGCCTGTGGGGCCTCCTTTGTAGCGGTTCTGTAGGGACGCCAGCTCAGCGTGGAGAGCAGCATTTCTCTGCTCAAGTGCCTGGACCTTTTCGATGTATCCTGCAAACTTGACGTTGAGTTCCTGCATCTCCTCTTTCTCATTGGCATGCTGCTGGTGTATCTCTGTACCCAACTCGATGGCAGTGCCACGATATCCTGAGCGTCCACGACTGTCGTACGAGGATCCACGGCACCGGGATGGCGAAGGGCTCTGAACCCTTACTCTGCTGCCAGAGCCGCTAACTTGCAGGCTCTTCTGGGTGTACGATGCGGCTCTCATTTTGTGTAAATATTGTTTTGTTTCCAGTTAACTGCTCTCTCCGCTTCTCTTTGCGTAGCCCACGTTGCAACTGACGATCCCTCAGATCAACTCTGGGTTTTATGCGGCAAATAGGAATGTCTCAGACAGCCTTGAAATTCACGCTTGGTTTTAACATATTTCAAAAGTGGATTATGACAGACTTTAGATGAACTGTGGCAGCACACTCTTTATTAGCTGACGCTGTACTGTTAGTGGGCAGGCGGGTTGAGTCCACTCCCTGGCCTTTGTACCAGGATGTGAAATAGTGATCAGATCATGTATGGCTGCTATATTTCACTCACTATCCACTTAGAAGGGTCATGAATTTGGGTGTGACAAGCACCTAGTGCACCAGTAAACAGTGACAATATGCTTTGGAAGCAAGTTTTCCTGCACAGTGTTGTGAAGCTGATCTGAAGTGGTTTCCCTGAACTCCCTCAGGATCACCAAGTCGAGCAGCTAAGGAATTATATTAGATTACATTTGGAAAATCATAATAAATATTTCACATTCTCATTTCAGTTACTCAAAAACCTAATTCTAAAAAGCAGAAAGAAAGGGCACATTTCTGTGCAGAGTGACAGACTCATTTTAAAAAGATGCACTTGCCAGATATAAACAGAGGAAATGGGGAGGAATCGGAGAGCGAGTACCTAGAATGCGGAAAATTAAATGGTGAATTACACCAGCTTCCAATACTGCTTAGGAATTCATCCTGCATATCGTACCAGTGGTTTCTAGGAGTAGAATGCCTGAAATGTCTTCCTCCCTAATCTACATGCATGTCTTGTGTGTCACTCACTTTGACATACTGTCCCGCAAAGTCAGTGACCTCTGACGTGAAGCAGCCCGAGGCATCCACAGGGCAGATAGGAGCCTGGTCCCTCTGGATGATGTTGTATTCAGTGCACACCCTGTAATCATCCTACAGAGACAATAACACATCATTTAGATAGAGTTTGATGAACGTTAAAGGATAATTCAATACAAACTCAACTGCAACAATCTATGTACTGTGGATGAATTGCATTCTACAGAATGTATCATCTAATTTTGAATTTGATACTACCGGTACATTTCAAAGTATTTCCATTTATTTACATAAGATTCTCCAAATGATGACATTAAATGGAGGATAAGCAAATATAAAACATAATTTGCTCCAACTAGTTAAAAGATATGTAAACACACTGAATTCCTTGTTGAGCTGGACTCTTTTTGCAGTGTTGAAACAACTACCACTGGTATGTGACAGCTCTGCATGAAAGATCTAAGTACTGTCCAGCTCTAAATGTATTTCGTATTCAAACACCCTGTCAGAGATCTAAGATGGATCGTTCACAGGGTCATTAGACATCTATTCATAACAATGTGTAGTTCAATGAATTTCAGTTCGGTGCATTTCTTCTCACTCTCTTTAGAGCACATGCAAATGCATTTGTGCGATCACTAAATAACAGACTCGACAATAAACACCAAAGTGGTACAGATCAATATAAAATATTTCATAAAATACACATTAATCAACGTAATCTAGAGTAAACTAAAAAAAATTGAGTACACAAAGAATCACAGCAACCAGAGGTTTAAAGTGTAAAATATGAGACACAAGATTCTCCAAATATAAAAAGATGAAAAATATATATATATATGAACATGTCTCAACTTTCACCTTCAGTTTTGAATCAACACAATATTTAATGACTGTTCAATGTTACGATCCTGAACAAATCATGTTTTGGGTTTTTGGGTCTTGGTCTTGATTAGAAATCCTGATTACAAGGCTTATGCCCAAAATCCTGAGAAACTGTCAAAGTACATCAATTATTCATTAGCAACTAGAATTTTATCATCAACAACAATAACAGAAATACTTGGAAAAGACATGTTAGGATGTGCTAATTCACTGCTTTGTGCCCTTTTTGGAACAATACAGTTATTGTTGGAATAAATCTTGTGAGTTACAAAACAAAGAAAATGCAAGAAATACTCTGGTTCATGCTCTGGTGATGGGGGAATTTCCTTTTTTTTTATTTTCAGTTTCCTATGATTGTAAATTGAATATCTTTAGTTTTCTTTGGTTTACCTTGAGAACTGTGATGGACATTTTTATGATTAATTAATTTGTCAAAAGGTAATTGCAGTACAGTAGTTATAGACAATACATAACATTATGTAAGACAACATTTTCTGTATTTGCAACAAAAGGAAAAAAACAGTTTAAAAACAAGAACACTCACAGCTCCAAAGTAAGGTGCCTGGTGTACCACTCCTGTACCCTCCTCCTCCTTGACGTAGTTATCGGTCACCACCTGGAACGCTCCCTTCTCCCCACACTGAAGTGACGATGAAGAGAATCGGATGAAAGTGGGCAAGTGGTGAAGACGCCAATAAGGAACAGCAGCAGATTAAGGTTTGGGAAATGTGAACAGAGATGTCGATGTGTGAACAGACAGATAAATAAAGTAGGACACGGTTTGGCTTCATTTGACAAATGTGGACAGGTTTATGCGACAAACATAAAACACAGACACGACAAACCTTGGCAAAGTACTGGAAGAGAGGCTTGTATTTTTTCCCTTTAAGAGTCTTGCCAGGAAATCTGAAAAACACACAAAACACATTGAAAATGTTCGTTTCAATATTCATACATTTTCCCACCTTCCACACACTGACAAACTTGCGAACTGACACCAACCAACACAGATACAAAACATGTTTGGCAGATCCTGTCGTACAACTGGAAATTAATAAGCTTTGCCGTTATTGAATATTTACAGAGTCGATTTAGGTTCAGTTAACAGTAACTGTAGTATTTTGTCAATCCCAAATAAGGTTGCTCAAAGATTTGATGAAAGGTATCTATAGTGTCCTATTTACTCACTTGTCCAGCAGCGTGTACTCGCTCTCTGACTTAAACAGAGCTCCGAGCCTGGCCTCCATCATGATGTAGGTCTTGTCTGTGGTGTTATCTGTGGGATGAACAGTAACAAAGATATTCATGTATTTTGCAAAGCCTTCATATGAACTTACAAAATGTGATGGAATACAAATTGGGTCTTGAGAAGTCTTAAAAAATTCTAATTGGGTTGGATGATTTCTTCTTAAATGTCAAGTATTCCTACATGTATGTGCAAAGACAAGAAATATCTCCATTCATTTTAAGTCAAGCTCTGGAAACATGCAAAAAAAAAAACTGATCAGCACTGAATATTTTCTGTTAGATATACAATATCTGAACCATCATAGACCCAGACAGTGTCTGTCAGTAAGGATCTGATGATCGACTGTATCAAACGCTGAGCAAAGATCCAACAGAACTAAAATTGAAATGTCATCAGTGTCAGCTTACATAAAAATATCATTTAGCATCTATCTGGACTTATTATCAATCCAAGTCTCCTTATATCAAATACTGTACTGCTTTTCAAAAACCACACCAGTTAAAATAAGCTTTCATTTGCCCTCTTTAAAATATGTTGAATTATTGATCTTACAGTACATTCACAGATTTGAGGCCAAAGGGAATCAGGGCATAGTAATGGTGAAAGTACATAAAACATTTTTACT